ACGGTGCCCCTCACGCCCCTCCTTCCCGGCCCCGCCGGCGGGACTCACCGCGCGTCCTGGGGCCCCGCGGATGGGCGCTGCGCCCCGCGCCCGGTCGGGGTCCCTGCCCCGGCTCGGAGGTGCTGGCCCTGCTCCCGAAAGGTGAGCGGCTCCCCGAGAGGCTGCAACCTGAGCTGGATGGGAGGGTGGAGGGGAGGGGCAGGGAGGAGTGAGAAGGTGGGGAAGAGGAGGGGGAGGAGGTGGAGGAGGAGGAGGAAGGGAAAGCCCGGCCCCGCTGGAGTTTTTCACGTGTACAAGTTGACTCCTCCCCGTCCCTCCCGGGCTGCACAGCAGCTGCCAATCTCCGCGGCTCCCTCTGCCCGGGCGCCCACCCCTTTCGCCCACTCTGGGCACCCTGTCCGAACACCTCTTCCGGTTTGGGTCCCAAGCCTGGGCGCTCCAGCCCCCTCCCCCGGGGCTGGCCCCCTCCCCCGGGGCTGGCTGGGAGAGCCTGGACTAAGGGGTGAGACCCTCTGGGCTGGAGCACCCCAGGACAGGGCCAGGGCCCTGGGTGATGTGCTGCAGGGCCTGCCTTTAAAAGCAGCTCTCCCACCTTCTGAGCCCGACCCTGCTCCCAGCACCTGGTCAGGAGCGAATGTGCACAGACAGGTCCAGTCGGTCAGTCTGGCTTTTAGAGTCCTTGACAGCAGTAGCCCTGGGGCCCTTCCTCTGCCCTGTCCAGTGGGACTTGTCACTCACCTTTAGAGACAAAGCTCCCACCTGGTCGGGCCCCCATGCTCTAGGCCAGCGGTTCTCAACTGTGGGTTGCGACCCCTTTGGCGGTCAAATGACCCTTTCACAGGGGTCGCCTAAGACCATCCTGCATATCAGATATTTACATGATGATTCATAACAGTAGCAACATGACAGTTAGGAAGTAGCCCCGAAAATAATTTTATGGTTGGGTCACAACATGAGGAACTGTATTTAAAGGGCCAGAAGGTTGAGAACCACTGCCCTAGGGCCTGAAGGAGCCCTGCCCATAGCCATCACCCCCACTTCCTACCCCGGAGGCTCTTTCAGTTTGTCCTTCCAGAATTAAACCCTGCAGGTCCCCTGAGAAGCGTCTGATACTTACAGACCAGCTGGGGCTGGTCCAGCTTTAATTTTACAGAAGGGGAAATGGAGGCCCAGAAAGGGGATTGAACTGGCCCCAAGCCCCACAAGGAGTTAGTGAGGCCACTCTACCCACACATCCGACTTCAGGGATCAAAGGAAGACTGAGATGGGGTGACAGGCCAACTGGCCCCCTGGGGGCCCTCCCGGCCCTGCTTCCTCCTGAGGGCTGTGAGGAGAGGGGGTGGCACCTCAGATCTGATGGGCACCAAGTCAGGGTCTGTGTCCTCTGCCCTGCCGGTGGGCAGGGCCTCTTCGGTGTGGGGGTCCTGGCGAGGGCGCGGGGGAGGTCTCTGGAGGAGAACCCTTTCCTCGGATAGATCTGAAGTGACCGCCCCTTAGGTCCTATGCTTTGAGCAGGGCCTTTCCCTGGGGAGAAGGAGTTGTTGAGATTAGAACAATTTCCTGTCCAGAAGACAGGGCCTGCGGTCTCACCCTCGGGCCAGCCCTCTGCCCTCCAACAGCAGCGGGCAGCACAGCACAGGCCTCTCTAGGCTCCAGGGGGTGGGCGTGGCCGGAGGAAGGAAGCAGCTGGGCTCTGCAGGAGGGTGCCCTGCGGGTAGTCCACAGGGGCAACCGCAAGGGGCTCCCCACTCTTCGCCACCTGTTTGCTCTGCCAGGGCAGGTAGATTTCCTGGGCACACACACTTTATAAAAATAAAACTGCGGAGCCTGAGCTGGTTTGGCTCAGTGATTAGAGCGTCGGCCCACGGACTGAAGGGTCTCAGGTTCGATTCTGGTCCGGGGCACGTAGCTGGGTTGCAGGCTGGATCCCAGTCCCTGGTCGGGGCCCGTGTGGGAGGCAACCAATCGATGTGTCTCTCTCACATCGATGTTTCTTTTTCTTTCTCTCCCCCTTCTTTCCACTTTCTCTAAAAATCAATGGAAAAAATATCCTCGGGTGAGGATTAACAAAAAAAATAAATAAAATTCTTTTTTTAAAAAAAAACAAAACTGCTGAGTGTGAAGGGGTGTGAAGAGGGATGGATCTGGAACCTCCAGGCTTTGGGGAGAGGAAGCAAAAACCTACCTGGTTCTCTAATGCACGTCTGTGATAAGAAGATTGGGGGACAAGGAGGCCGGGCAGAGGCAGGAAAGGGCAGAGAGAGGGGCTGTGGAAAAGGAACTGTGTTTTAGGGGATTAGAGGGAATGGGGCCAAAGACAGAGCCAGGAGGATGGATGAGGTGAACAAGTTTCCGCAAAACGTTTCTGAACATCTCTCATCTGCCAAATGATAGACAAGTCTCTGGGTACCAAAGATGAGTGAAAGGCAGTCCCTACTCTCAGGGGGCCCACAGTCTAATGGGGCAGGTAAGTAAACAGTTCTGATGCTGCAGGACCCAGGTTAGAGCTGCCTGGGGGGGTCATTCGCTGCTTGAGTTGAGGCCTATGGGACAAGAGGACCCTGGAGAGGGAGAAGGGTTTTCCGTTGGTTTGTTTTACCAGGAGGTCTCACACCGCCTGCCAAGTGCATGGGCAAGCGAACACGCCCCCACAGCTCTGTGAGGCAAGAGCTGAGGATCAGTAGGGCTGGAGGTGATGCCATAAAGGGAGGCAGACGCTGGTTTCTGAAGACCCTCCTACTACATGGAGGCTAAGAGCCAAGACCCTGCCTGAGAACACACGGCAACGTGGAGCGTTTCAGAGGAAAGAGACGTCACCAGCCAGTGATTGAGGGCGAGCTCTCCGGCAGCCAAGGGGAGGATTGATGGAGAGGGCAAATCTGGAGATGAGAACCCCAATTTGGAGGTGAATCCGGTGAAAAATCAATTCTAGGCGTAGACTAGAGCCATGGCCGGAAGGAGGAGAGGAGGGAACGTGCATTAGAGATAGTTAGGAGACAGGCGCACAGAACTTTGTGCCTGTTGGAGTCTAGAACAGTGGTTCTCAACCTTCTGGCCCTTTAAATACAGTTCCTCATGTTGTGACCCCCAACCATAAATTTATTTTTGTTGCTACTTCATAACTGTAATGTTGCTACTGTGATGTATCATAATGTAAATATCTGATATGCAGGATGGTCTTAGGCGACCCCTGTGAAAGGGTCGTTTGACCCCCAAAGGGGTCACGACCCACAGGTTGAGAACCGCTGGTCTAGAAGCTAAGGGAGAGGAGAGTGTCAAGGTTGGACCCATTGGTATGACAGGCCAGGCTGGGAGCCTCATAGGGATGCCCTGAGTCCCAGAACTCCTTGAACTGGCTGTGTGGCCTTGGGCAGGTGACTTAGCCTTCCTGAGCCCAGTTTTGCCATTTGTAAAACAAAGTTACTAAAATTGATCTTGTACCTTAAAAATAATGTACCCCAAAGCATAGGGCTTGGCTCATCATAGGAACTCAATAAAATAAAAAAATAGATGCAATTACCATTGTTTGCCCATTCAACAAACATTCATTGAGCACCTGCTGTATGTGCCGGACCCCTGAGATACAGGGATGATTTTAAGTCTCATTCCCTGTTCTCAAGCAGGTCACCATCCTGAGGGAGAGGGACAGTCACATAGCAAGGCCGGGGCAGAGGAAGAATCCCAAGACAATCAGGGGCAATTTCACAGAGGAAAGGTGACAGCTTCAACCACGTAGGGCCAACCACCTGCTCAGGGACGGTCGCTTCCTCCCCCGCCCCTGGCACGGGATGGTGTTTCAGAATCTCTGAGATCTTCCATTTTCTTTCTTTCTTTCTTTTTTTTTTAAATATATTTTATTGATTTTTTACAGAGAGGAAGGGAGAGAGATAGAGAGTTAGAAACATCAATGAGAGAGTAACATCGATCAGCTGCCTCCTGCACATTTCCCACTGGGGATGTGCCTGCAACCCAGGTACATGCCCTTGACCGGAATCGAACCTGGGACCCTTCAGTCCGCAGGCCAATGCTCTATCCACTGAGCCAAACCGGTTTTGGTGATCTTCCATTTTCAAGGCATTATCTCGGTCCTTGGGGCCGGGATAAGGGAATGGGCAGCAGATGGGTGTCTATAAGGAGCCCCTAGAATGGCAGGCGAAACGTTGGCAGCCCCAGGGCAGGTGTATGAACATATGGGCAGGTAGAAAAGGGCACCAGGTAAGGGAGACTCTGGACAGGTGGGCAGAGCCGACTGGTTGGATAGGGAGCCCCTGTGTGCGCACTGTCTGAGCCATCCTGGTTTGTCATGCCCTGTCTGTGCCCTTCTAAAAATTCCCTCTGAACCCCTTGGTGTCCTCACCCTCCTCCCATGCGGTCCCCTCGCCCCCATACTTCTGTCAACAAGCTCACTCAGTAGTTGCAGCTCAACCTGGGTCTCCCATTCAGGAGAGACTCCTGTCCTGCTGCCCCACCGAGCAAGACCTTGCGTTTTAAAACCACGTTAAAGCCACGTAGACCACGTGACCTGGACCAGTGACTCACATCTCTGGGTTCCCATCTGTAACACAGAGATGGTGCCAATCCTGCTCTCATGAGGCTGTTTCGAGGTTTCAATGAGATGGACGCTTGCGCCCAATCCCTGCTTGTTTCCCTTCTCTGCAGCCCAGTGACTGCCTCCGCAGCTAGGACAGGCGTCCCTGGGCGCCTGAGGGCTGAGGGGGGAAGCTGGGAACAGCTCTCGCTCACAGATCGGCTCACAGATCGTGTGGGCAGTGTATGGGAATAGCTTCTGAAAAAACAAATTCAAGCCTGCCCCACTTTCCCCTGGGAGGCACAGCATGCAGACAGGGAGAGTTCAGCAAACAGTTATCTCCTTTCTGCCCATGTCACGGGCTCTTCTCTCTGGCCCTCCCACACCCATGCAATGCAGGCACACCCTGCGGGGACACTTAACTCTGCCCATAAGGTACAGGAGCCATTTCATTCCTCTGGGCCTCGGTTTTCCTCCTCTGCACAATGGGAATGCTGGGAATGCATTCCTCTCAGGAAGGGTTAAATGAGAGTGTGAATGTGAAAGTAAGCTGTAAAGATCTGCATGTGCATGAGATCATTAGTGTTGGGCCAGAGGGGGACAGGTAAAGATAAGAGAATTGAGAAACTAAGTAAGAACAAAGTGAAATTCTCCCCAGGGCAGCCCAGCTGGCCGGCGTGGCTCATGAACTAGGAGCGTAGACCTATGAACCAGG